CCAAGGGAAGTGGTGCTCGCTCGTACCCTGGGGGTCTTCAAAGGGAGGCTAGATACACACCTTGCCGGGGTGATTTGACCCAAGCATCCTTTCCTGCCCGTGGCAGGGGGTCGGACTTGATGATCTGCTCAGGTCCCTTCCGACTCTACCAACTATAAAACTATAATACAGCAATATTCACAGTACTGATTTGCTAAAGCTTTCATGTGTGCATGTAATTGCAAATCGAAGTGTTAACTGGATGTATTTTTGTTCCTTTTTTTTCAGAGTTGTGTAATATAGACCTTGCATTTAATACAGTACCAAGAACTCTGACTTCACCCCCTTCACACTAGGCAACATTAAGACCCATGTAGTAGGGATACAGTATTTTAGGCCTAACTTCCAGTGGCACTGTTCTTCTGCTTCGTGCGTCTCTGCAGCACATTTGACCCTTTTGTTACACATGCTCTGCTTGTTTATTGTTCTTTGCAGGGTCTTTCATTGTACATGTGCCTTCAAGCAACGGGCATTGCAGGTGTTGCATAATCTGAGGCTCTGTGCCTCAGTCACAGGTGGTTGAATCAATAGTATAGCCCCACTTCTTCATTAGTTCCTTGGAGTGTCTGACTCCAGTATGTAGGCAGTTGAGATATCGCTACCTTTGTCATGGTTCATCAGCCCCTGGTGGTAAGGACTCAGCTGCTGAAATGCCCATTTTTCTGGTGTTGGGTATTTTCTTTAGCCTCTCATTCCAGATCTGAAGTCATGTCTCCTTGAGTGTGGCACTGAGAGGTTGGGTGCTGGTGAGGAAGCTCCTGCGTGACTTCCTGTGCTGTGGGCTGGGCGCACAGCAGGTATTTCACATCTTCAGTTTGTCTTGGTCGTTCTGTCCTGCTGCCCACTGCTCTGATGTCAGGCGGAGCGGTGCCAGCCAGCAGGTGCACACTGTGTAGGCTAGTAGGCTTCAGACTGTTCTGCTGACATCAGACAGCCATTTAGGTTATGCTGCTTCAGACTTGAACCCATGCCAGTGTTGAATGCTTCCCTGGAGGTGCAAAATTTATACAGCAAGCTATAGATTTGCTGCTGCTGCCATAGGCACATATTTCTCTTAGGAGCTGCTGGAGTTCTCCGTCCTTCTCAGATCCCAGTGTTTTCAGAAATGTAGGTCTACTTACTGATGTCAGCTCACCATGAGAATTAGTTGCCCTGTAAGTTTTTCTGTCCCAATAATATAATGCAGTTTTTTGTACCAAGTTTAGTCTGTCACAAGGCATTTCTACACTTATTTGGATTTCCCTCTGATGTTACTGTGGGAGGCAGGGGGGCGAAGGGGATCAAACAGGCCAAGAATCCAGAGTCTCCCACCTCTTTTCCCCACTGTACACAACGGTATAACTGAAATAGCTAATCAGGACTGCAATAAAATCTCTAGAGTAATATGCATAAAATATGTGGCCGCTGTGAACTAGGCAGCCAAATACAAATGCTGCAGACTAGAAACATAAGTTTTATCTAAAAATAAGCCGAAATGAAAATGTGTCAACAGATACGATCTTAGTGTTTTTAGGGTTGGATTTTTTGGGGGGAGGGAAGGCAGGGGGGTTGCGTGATTTAAAATTTGCCAGCAAATTCAGTAGCTTAAGCGGTAATAATGCTAGAAGGCTTACAACAGACTGCCCTTGCTGTATTTAGAGGGGAAAAAAGCAACAAGTATGTGTTGACCTGAGGTCAGGATGGGAATTTCAGGTCACAGTTGTAGGCTAAGGAGCTTCTTGAGGAAAGAGCAGAATCCATGAAATCATTGCATTGCTTAACCACGCAGTGAAAGGTCACAAGAAAGAAGACATCTTCAGATTATATTTAGTAAGGATGAGGATCCTGTTTGTAGTGGCTGCTTTGCAACAAATAACATTTTCCTCACCCTGTCCCTGAAAACCTTGCTCTGATCTACCCTGAAAACGATAAAGTGGGTATTAGGAATTTTTTCTTTGTCCAACAAGCCAGGCCAACTTATTTTACAAGCAAAAAGAAATGACTCAAAAGGCTGCATATGCTTATCATGAAATGATTCTGGTCAGTTCTATATTCCATGCTGACAGGACAGGACAGTAGAAAATAATAAATATTTGATACCTCCCAAGATTAAACTTCCTTCTGATATACCCCTGTAAATTGAAGTGACTGCTGTTGCTCTTAAAGTTGACTTTAAACATATATTTTGCTGGTGTTGACATCTACTGGATAAATTTGCTAGTGGCAGGGTGAAATACCATGTATTTTATTGAACAGGACGGCAACATCCATTGCCTCTCAAGAAGTTTAATTTCTACACAGGTCTCAGACTGCTAGGGTCATATACTCTTGACGTTTCCTTCCCCCTCCCCCTTAAAATTGCCCTGTGAATAAAAATTGAATTAAAGATAATAAATTGCAAGAGGGTTTGGGCAACAAATTGATAAAGTAGCTGCTGTCTTTCTTCTCTGGGACTCACATTTTTGAGCTCTGCCTGAGGCACTAAGTGAAATTAGTTTATTAGTTTCACTTTGGTCACTGGTGAATATCGCTCCACATCGCAAAAATACCACTTTTAATTCTGTTTGATTTCTAATAACTGTCCAGTCAACAGCGAGACCCGTGAAGTGAGCAAAGACAGGCGTTGAATTACGTTGTGCCCTGGGATGTCCAACTGACTTGGGGACTGATGCTCAGGTATAGCAAACATGTACACTTATCTATATATTACATTTGGTCGGAGGGGAGATAATGCTCTATTCCGATATGGCAACTGACAGAAGCAAATTGAAAATGAGTTGGAAATAATTTATATAACTTGTTTGTCACTGTATAAATTTAAGCCATTCATCTGAATTATTTGAGCTCGCAGGTTATGAAAGTGCACTTGGTGGGAGGTTTGTCCCTTAATTTTTATGCCCATGCTTGGTGCTGAGTGCAATTTTTCAAATATCATTTAATTTTCATTGGTGCTTTGAGTGAGCTACCAGTAACAACAGCACTAATCTTAAGCAAGATTAATCTCATAGGAAAACCGTCAGAAGGATTTGTGGCTTTTCCTTCTCTTTCCTCCTTTGTCATTTATTTTATTTCATGAAATAAAGGGAAGGATGGAGTAAACAAATCCTATGTGGCAGAATCGTTTGGCAAACGCATGAAATGAGAACTGAGCACAGACTTTCAGTATATAGGTGCCTATATGTGAATGTGTTTACAAGATTGAACAAAGACTCCTGATCATTTTTGGTTTAGCCTAAAGTGAATGTATGGCATTCAAAACAAATATTTTAGCCAGTGTTTTCAAATATAGGGGCTTCAAGTTAGATCCAAAACCCCTACCTAGCAATCTAAATAAAAGAGGCTTGACTCTCAAGGGTGTTAAGCTTCCATGGTGGCTTCAGAGAGTTTTAAGAGTGCTCAGCATAAAAAAGACTCATTTTTATTGAGGTGCCTAAATATAGATTTTTAGATCGTAAGTTTGAGCATTTAGATCAGGAGTCAGCAACCTGCAGCTTATGTGCTGGATCTGGCCCATGGGTGTGAGGCTTCAATGGTAGGGAGATGCAGCAGCTGGGTGCTAACACCCACCTCCCTCTGACCAAAGTTGGATCATTCCAGCCTACAGCCATATTTATGCGCGTGTGTGTGTAATCATGAAGACTGTATTCCCATTTTAAATAGGACATCAGTAGCCAGTGGCAGTTTAAAATTAGAGAAGAAATTAAGAACCATGGAAAAATAATTGAGCCAGCTGTGAAGTAGTTAATTTTGCCATGGGGCTGTGGTATTAATTCATTAGAATAGTGGGCACAGCCCCAGTCATTCTTCAGGCATTGCCTTTCAGAATAAAACAAAAATAACAAGATGTAAGTGATACTTCTTTTATTGGACTAACTAAAAATAAAATGGATCTCTTTTATATATAGTTAGTCTAATAAAAAAGTAATGATCTGTGGCTGTGTACATACAGATAACAGGGGCTCCAGCCAACAGCATAATGACATGCACCAGGAATGGAGCTTATGACTTTGGAGTTGAAAAATGTAAGGCTGCATCATGCGAGTTAGAAGAACAATCCCCACAAACATCTATGGTTAAAGATGAGAAAAAGTGACTAGAAAAAGTGTGGATCCTGTGATCAGAGGAGAAAATGACCAAATGGCTGTGGAGGTAGCCTGGGTCCTTAGAGCCCATGGAGAGAAAGGATAATCCACTGTTTAGGGCAGTAAGAGTTGGGAGACCTTGGGTAAGTTCAACGCTGTGTTACACACCTTCTTTTTTTGATGCTAGGTAACATGCATGGTAGATGCTCTCAGTTCCTTGCCTGTGCAATAGGGACAGTAGCACTTTCCTCCTGTGCAATGGCAATAAGATGAGAAGTGCATTAAACACTGTAAGGTCCTGAAGTACTAAGATGACGTGAGCTCTGTAGGCAGAGTAGATTGCTTACAGATTAGAGTTTCTTCATGGCTGTTGACACATTTTGTGAACTGCAAGCTCTTACTATTTAGAAAATGTCTTATTTTGTATCCAGGCACTCATTCTGTAAACTGATATACTGCTTCTAATTAACCTGGCTTGTCAGAAAACTGCACGTGGTCAGAAAGTTCCAGTACCAGCCTTCAAAGAGAAAAATTATAGTCCTATCTGGTGCTACTCAGACCAAGAAAGTATTAACTTTCACACCTAAGTAAAAGTGTTTGAATGTGAGCATGATATATGGGTGTTTTTTTCCTACCCTTTTCTCTTAAAAGAGAAAATTAAATGTGTAATAAAACACCCTGTTAAATACAAATATGGTTTATGCAGCACCATTAACTTGACCGTATGACCCATGATGGCTTTCTAGCGCATGCACTACGTTTAACCATATAAACTAAAGCATATGAAGAAAATAAGAACAGGGAGCATCACGTATATAGGCTATGTTGAATCATTATTTTAGGAACTACTTTTGCCAACAAAAAAACAAACAAACAAAAACCAAACAAACAGCTTGGGTTAGGCCCCAAACTCCTGGAATAGGGCCCAAAATCCATTAGGTGAAAAAAAAAAAAAAGTGGGGTATGGGGGGAGGAAAGAAAAAATAAACACCCAGCACAGCACATGTCATTGCATGTGTGCTCCCAGTATAGCTAATTTTGGGTCAGCTACAAAAATTCATTAGGGGCCTGAATTCCCAATGATATTCAAGAAGAATTAGGAGTCTGTATACTTTTTGGGGTGTGACCTTTTGTGTCACTACCTCTACATCAGTAGCACACAACAGTTCTGCCTTCTCCTGTAGCTCCACATGTGTCCTTTGTCCACCCAACACCCCTCTGCCATGTCTTGCAGCTCTGGAGGTTCTTCATCCTCAAATCAAAAAGTTTATCCTCTCCTCAGTCCCAGACCTAGGAAGAAAGAGAAGTCACTCTGAGCTTCTGAGCTCTTTCCATTTTCTCATCCCTCTTCCCCTGCCCCTGCTGAATATGGTGTCAGCTTCTCTCTTTTGATATTTGACATAGCTTCTTGGCAGATGAGGGATGGAGAAGAGAGGGCTCTCTCTGTTCCCTGCAGGATTTCTGATCGACTGCTCTTCCCCAGTGGGAGAAGTAAGGTGCACAGTCTCTAGGATTCCCTCTCCTTCCCACCCACCCACTTAGTCCTCTGTTGAGTCTGGTTTTGCTAGAGCTGGCAACACAGGTGTAATCTTCTACATGCCCTGACTTGTATGAACCAGGGCACCTTGGGTCTCAGTCGGGGCTTTCAGACACTAGCAACACGAGAAATTATTTCCAGGGAGTAGTGAGCTTCCCCAAAGGGATTCTGTCCCAAGGGCCACGGCCTTCCCAATGTGCATGCTGGCACCAGTGCTCCATTGCCCTTTGACAGGCAATAAGGGGAAGTCCGAGGGAACCGGGTATGGAAATACAGCTTCCCTTGCTCTTCCTGGCTTGTCTAGCAGCCCCTTCCCTACAACTCCTCCTTCTCGGCTGGTGCAATGAAAGTCTTCTCCTGTTTCAAACTACTTTTGCCACTCCTGCCAAGTGTTGCATATAGTAGGGCTGCAACACAGTATTTCACCCAGCTGGTCGGCAGACACAGGCTCCAGCTCTTTGTACAGATGCCAGAGGTTGCTGTGCCACCTGGCTTCAGGCAGCCAAGTGGCCTTTTCATTCTCCGTTCCTTAAACTAACACCAGGCAACTGTTGAACCCTGTGGGGAAGGAGGCAGCAGCAGCTGCTGGGCAAGACAGAGGCTTGTGGACATACTGGAAATGCAGGGCTGAATATGAGAAGGGAGGGAATAACCTGGAAAAGAGTTTGGAGGATAGAGGCTGCGAAGGATGGGGTAGGGGGAATAATTGTCGTATTTATAGATAAAGCAATTATATTTTAATAAAATGTCACATGCGGCACTGCACGGCATTCAGCTCTGCTCCTGAACAGAGTGCAGTGCCCACTCACCTTCCCCCTGATTTCACAAGTCAGATCAGTTGTGACTGCCCCCATCCTGCCACTCCATTTGTCTCCTAGGGAGACCAGCGATTACAGCAGCAATGCTGTGAACGCTGCCAGTTGACAGGCAGCCAGCCCCTGAGCCGGAGCGTCTCGGTCCTGTCCGCCGGTCCCGCCTTGAGAGTCTCTGCACAAGGCCTGCCACAAACTAGCCTTTCATGCAGTGTTTTTGCATTTGCTTTTCTTTTGTTTGCTTTTCATGTTAATTAGCCTATTCGATTAGGAAAGGCTAATGTTTTGTGCAGTGTTTTTGTGAGCTAAAGTGCAGTATAAGTGGTGTTAGTTATTCTTCCTCTCCTTCCCCTCCCCTCATTTTTGGTAAGTGCTGTCTCTACAGGGTGCTGGTTATCCATCTGTGAAAGTTATTCTAGCATTGTACAAAGTTCTGGTGGATTTTCATTTGGAGTATTGTGTGCAATTCCAATCACGTTGCCGAGGAAGGACACCGCAGAGTCCGAGAGGCTGCAACTAAGGGTGGCTAGAACTGACTCTGGGAGTATGGGGGCAGTTGGACTATGAGATGAAAGGCAAGAAAATGTTTGCCGCCAACAAGAAAGGGGATGCAAGGAAGGGAGGAAGAAAAACGAGACTTGTGAGAATTCCTTAAGGTAACCTGAAGGGAAAGGGGGATGGGAGTGGCGACAGCAACCTGTCTTGAGGTAAGCATGTCAGACTGGTGTATGTGATATTTTTTTGGTAACTCCGTGTAGATGCTTGATATTGAGTATACGCATATTCATGGATCCTGTCAGCCCAGGCCTCCTTTGGTCCACTATCTGGCACCATGTAAACCAGTACAGCTTGTTCTATGGTCAGGTTGTCAGCAACTAAACTGCACCCACTACCACCACCACCTGGGCCAGCCTGGGTGATGAGGTATGTGGACACCCAGCAGGACTGAAAACAAGACCTGTCAAAGGGTGGATGAGCTCACTGCAAGCCAACAGCCATCCAGACCTGGAGAGCAGATGGGCACCACAAGGTCATTCTACCTGAAGAATTGCAAATGATGCAAAGCAACTCAACTAACCTAGAAGGGTTGTTACAGCATCTAAGGCAGGGGTTGGCACCTTGATTTGTAAGGTGTTGGCATACCAGGGGTGGACAGTGGGGAAGCTGCAAGGGGCCTGATCCTTGGTGTGGAAGCACAGCCCCAGCCCCTTCCCTGCTGTCTGCCCCAAGCAGTGTGAGACAAGTAAAATGGCCTTCACTTGCCATGCACTGGCACCCGTGCCAGGGGTTGCCTACCCCTGATCTAAGGTAACATAACTGTCGCCATGGCTTCAAGACTGACTTGATGGTCATGGAGCAAAACCCTTAGGAACATTATAAGTTTGGAGTAATGCCACCTGTAGGCCTTCCCAGAAGGAAAAATATAGGAGTGACATAAAACACCACAGCATCTTATTTGTGTCTTGCAACCCTGTACAGATTCTCTTTGCCTATGGAGTGAACGGGAAGTGTGTAGATGACTTTAGATCCCCATCCTTGTGCTCAAGAGAAATTTACCTAACACTTTTAAATGGCGGACTTCGGAATAAAGATCCATAAGTTGGCCGAACAGAAAGAACCAGTGGCTGAACAGTAAGAACCAGGGACTAAACAGTGATATTGGCTTTGTGGCACACCCAACTCCTGAATTGGTTCACATAGGTGCAGATGTGAGAATGACCCTCCTACCTTTTGATAGTCCTTCATCACCCAGTAATCAGCTTCTTTTCTTCTGCTAATTGTATGTCTGCTATCTCTGGCTCCTGACAGATGTGGGGAAAAAAACACACACTTTATCAAAAGAGGCAGCACATTAGTTGGGCCCATCTCTGCAGCATCTGTATAGATTGTATGCTTCAGCAGGGCTTTTTGGTGCTTTTATCTAATAGCTGATTCAATCAGCTATTAGATAAAAGCACCAAAAAAGCCCCACTGAAGCACCTGATCTATACAGACATTGGGTGAACTAGGTCCAACTAACATGATGGCTCTTCTGGGCACATGCTGGGCTCATTGTGGGGGCACAGAGTTTAAAGTAGAGTGCTGTTGGGAGGGGGGGTTTATATCTGTAAGCAGCCCCTGGAAATCTTTCTCAGCTCCACTCTCTGCTGTTTTTTCACTATGTTGCATCTGGCTTCCTGTGATCAGAAATTTGCTGAAGAATGTCTTGCATTTGAAAGCTCATCTAAATTTATCCCAACTAGACAGTTGGTCCAGTAAAAGGTATCACCAGGTGTGCACCGATAAGAGATATTTTGGGGCCAATACCAATTGCCGATTTTTAAGGAGCCATATCAGCCGATACCGATCCAATTCTGATATGCAGCTGGGCAGCTTGGAGACCAGCATTGGGCTGGGAAGTCTGTTGTGGGGGAAGAGGCATGGGGAGGGCCAGATTAAGGCCCCTGCAGTCAGGGAGGGAGTGGGGCTGGGGCTGGGGCTGGGGCAGGCTCTGCTCAGCTGGGGTGGGGTGGGGCATGGGATGGAGCC